GTACAACAGCCTCGTGCCTAACAGCATTCTTCCTCATATGTTATTGCTTAAATAGCTTTACTTACCTAAATGCAGGCTTTGACAGGCCTCAGCCCGTTGAGATAGATCAGCTGAGAGCAACAATGAGCCAGTGTGGGAAACGCCACTGTTCCTTTTTCATTAAACAATAGCACTAGGCCCCATGCCATGCTGCCTTTGGATGTCAAGTCACCCTGTTCACATGGACACACTGAACTCCTCACGAGGAAACAGGAACTACATACATTCCTCAAACAGCACTGCTGCAGAACAGCTTTATATTTAATGTCTCTGCATGTCAGTGGCGTGGTGGAATGAGTTGTGGTATTTAAACTGTCCCACAAGATACTTTAAAGACATTTAACATATATTTTACATAGCCAAGTGTGTTTTAAATGCAATTTCCAAAAGAATTTAAAAAAAACGACATCTTTGAAAATACAATTTCAAAACAATTGCACAATCATTTTTTCTACATTATCCAGTTTCTGCAGATCTTTTGATTTAAAGTGAAAATAAAAGTATAAATATGCATATAACATTTTTTATGTTTTTATAAATTTATATATAAGTATAATAATTTATATATATATATATATATATACAGTGGGTACGGAAAGTATTCAGACCCCCTTAAATTTTTCACTCTTTGTTATATTGCAGCCATTTGCTAAAATCTTTTAAGTTATTTTTTTTCCCTCATTAATGTACACACAGCACCCCATATTGACAGAAAAACACAGAATTGTTGACATTTTTGCAGATTTATTAAAAAAGAAAAACTGAAATATCACATGGTCCTAAGTATTCAGACCCTTTGCTGTGACACTCATATATTTAACTCAGGTGCTGTCCATTTCTTCTGATCATCCTTGAGAGGGTTCTACTCCTTCATTTGAGTCCAGCCCTTTCAAGCTAAACAAAAGCTGAATATGCATACTTAGTGGTATAGATTTAAGTCTTAAAAAAGGATTAACATTGTCAGGTTGTCCGGTTCACCCAAAACAATCCAACGTTTTGTCACCTGGCAGACACAGTTAATCTCTTTCAGAACAGAGAAGGCCTGACAGACCAGTACCAGAGAAAATCACACGATGAAGTCAGAGAATTAAAGCAGGATGCTGTATGAACAGTGTCATTAATAATCAAGCAACTACATATCAGAAATGTGCCCAACAGCAGGTAATAGTGATATAAAAAAGACAGAGAACGCGTGGCTCAAAGCTCAGTTGTGATGGAGTGTTGAGGGAGACGTACACGTACACCGAGGCATCATGTCCCTTTAATGAGATTGTCTAACCCGTGTAGTTCCCCTGGTCAGACTTTCCATGGAATTACATAACCAGCCTTTAAACAGAGAAGGGAATCATCGTCTGGTGGACAGGTCCTGTGATGACGTCACTGCTGGGATTAGATACAGAGATGACTGATTAATGATTCACAATGAATTTTAACTACATTTTTGTTCGTCCTGTTCTCCATCCATTCTCCTACTTACTGCTCAGAAATGTACTCCTTTAATCAATTTTTTTTTACCTTTTCATTCTAGGATTTTCCTAATAAGGTCTCTCCCCTGACTATTTCTGGATCCGCCGGCTGCGTGCTACTATATGTATCACACTGCTCCATTTAACAGGGAGGCCAGTTACTTACTCATACATTGGTGGGTGTACATATGCTCTGAGTCATCCAGCCAACAGACACCCTGCATATGGGATTTTCCAGCAGCATCTAATGGATTCACCAGACTGTGGGGAGCGGCTGTAATCACAGGGCCTGAACATGGACCTGGTGAGTGGGCCACTTGTTTTTGACTGGGAGTTGAAGCCCCTACAAATGTCCCCATTTACAGGAAGAAAGGTGAGGTTCGAGTGCTCAAATATGAACCCACAAACATGTTAATAGCAAATTACTCACGATATATAAAAAATCACATGCTAGTGAGAGAGCTAGAGGATTCTGATTGATTAAATTGTGAAGTCGCAATGAAATAAAAGTAGAGACAGATTTTTTTCTTCCATATAGTGACGTTCATCCAAATGAAATGAAAGAAAAAATGTAGGCCGGGACTTGCTTCTATCCAGTCGGTTATTGATGAAAATGGAGGCAGATCTGAATGCAAGCTTGCAGGCAATTGTAAGAAAGGGGTGGAGTTAATCATACTAAATGATTGGAGAGGTCTACGAACCACTTTTATGGTGCTTTAAGCTTATTAAAAAATAATTATTTTCATGCTGTGTTCCATGGAAAAAAGTCATACAGGTTTGGAACTACATTCAGTTGAGTAAATTATTTTTGGGTGAACTATCCCTTTAACGCACACTGAAAAGAAGTAAAAGGAGAGGTCATGTACGTCAGCACTGATTTAAACAAATGAGGAACATTTAGACGCTGGAAATCTGGGCCAAAGGCAGTGAGTGTCAATGACATGAGCTGTAAAGATCAAGTGGGATGCAGATATACAAATATGGAGCCCTGTAGTGTATAAATGAGAATGACAGCCCTACATTCCATGTGACTCTTCCTGCCTATAAGACTGAACAGTTATCATGAATCACGCTCAGTCTCTTGAGGCCATTGTACGGTACTGAATTATACATTGAGCCACTTGCCAGTCAGACAGGCTACATGACCCTCTCTGTGCAACAGGCAGACTGCGGCACATTGACCCGGTAAAAGCGAAAAGCCACCGGCATGCCACATGCCTAAGAGCAAAGGTCAGGCAGGATTGCGGGATGCTGGAACTGTGTTGCGACACGGATGTTTCATCAGGTGAATGATCTCCGGCTTGCCTGGAACTCAAGGTAATCTGGTTAAGCAGCTTTAACCCTGCGGACGGGAGGAATTTAGACGAGTTGTAAAACCCCTTTGCACCAAGTCTGGATCTGTTCTCTCTCTCGCTTGTGTCCAAGCAGTCCATGTGGAGATAAATGTTTCATCAGTCCACCCGAATGGACTTCTGTTTCGTGAACAGATTTTGTGTGAATGAGTGTGGAACAAGGCGTGTGAAACATGGAGTACCAATGAATCTTAAATTCCTGTCCATTCCAATTGAATTAAAGTCTGAACAAGTTATTCCAGATGCAACTGCTTACCCTTAGTGAAAAAAAACTATCTATAAGAAAAAGCCTCATATATAAAACACACAATTGGACTTGATCCAAATTTTCATGAATTTTATCATTTATTTGACAAAACTGATCTTCTGAAAATAATAATAACGCTAATAGTATATGCCTGCACATGTTGTACAGAAACCAGACCGTCTTTTTTTTTTTTGTGCATAGAGACATTTATAAGAACACTTTGGAATCTATTATGTTCAAATATAAGAACATTATACATCTTTATAAATTAGATATCAGACTCCTCCTGAATGCAAAACGGTCCATGGTACAGTATGTGTGGTTTCGGCTCTGTTCAGTTTGAACATTATCTAAAGCAGGGGTGCCCAACCCTGCTCCTGGCGATCGACTGTCCTGCAAAGTTCAGCTCCAACCCTAATCAAACACACCTGAAGCAACTAATTAAGGTCTTCAGGATCACTTAAAAATTAAAGGCAGGTGTATTTGATTAGAGTTGGAGCTAAACTTTGCAGGACAGTCAATCGCCAGGAGCAGGGGTGGGCACCCCTGATCTAAAGAGTTGAAAGTACATGGAAGATCCCTGGCGGGTGATCTGAGCACCCTTCACCCTGGTGCAAAGAGAACTTGTGGGGCCATTTCAAGCTCAAGCTTAATTAAACAAAAAGGGCTCTGTGACCCGTCTCACATTCAAGGAATGTTCCAGTTCAACAAGATGTCCACAAAATAATATTTCAACTTGTACCTCATATGAGAGCAAACAACCAAACAAAAACAAATAGCATTGACATATCTACTCAGTAGTTAGTCTATGGGGGTTTGTAGTGTGCAACAGATGTTGCCATTTGGCCTGTCCCTTCAAAGAATGCTTTGACAGGCACGCTTCAATGAAAAATTATTCCCTGAATAATTATATTTAGATTTAAGAGTGTTTTGTTTCACAGTTAAATCAATTAGTACCACTGTATTAAATGGTGGGAAAGAGCCTTGAAAGTGACCTTTTTGAATACAAGGCCTAGCTGTAAAACGGCTCCAACATAAGAAGATTAACCATAACCTACTACACTAAATTAAATCTCAACCTTGTAAAGCTTTCAAAAATACAACTCAAGAAAAACTAGGATGTAGAAATCATGTTCACATTCATAAATTTAGAACCACAACAAAATAAGTCACACATTTCATTTTAAGTAAAAATAAACAAGGCAAGTCTTTCCCAAAGCCACTTTACTTCTTTATTTGAGCATCTCATCATTCAGTCACACTTTGTCCATACTGAAGGTATGCTTATTTGAACCTTCATAGTAATCTAATCTAAATGTAGCTGTTAACCCTTATCGTCTGACTTTAAAGAGGGTTAAAGCAGGAGGTTCTGACAGTAGCATACTGTACTATCCACGGCCTAAGTACACTTGCAACACAGACAGGCCGAGCTTCTTATGTGTGCCGTTTCTTTAAGAGCAGCTGAGACGGCGACCCTCAACAATCTTTTAATGCACTTGTGGACAGATTGACATTAGACTAGAGCGGATCACGTAGGCGATCGTTGCCCATGACCTGAAGAAGCCCTTGAGAGAAGGTACGATTACATGTGCAAAACTGTGTGACGTATATGAGAACTTGGTGAGAGAGTGGCATGATCTTGTAGACGTTTGGAGGGAGAGGAACAGAGAGCACATTTCCGGCACGCGGCATCTGGGTCTGCTAAATACCTAGAATATTCTCAGTTTTCATCTGGCTGGGAGGATTTAGAGAGATGCATTTTCATATCCTGTTTTCTGTGCTGAAGAAGTTGGCCTTGTGGAATTTACGGCTTGCCTAATGTCAGTTGACATGATGAGGATGTGTATATAGGCAGATCTGTGTGTGTGACAAAGGTTAGATGCGTACATACACAAGCACAAACACACACAAAAAAATAATTTACACCATAGAATGGCCTCGAAAGGGAAAGAGGAAGTTACATACGCTCTTCAGTCTTTCATCATTTGTTCCCTGGAGGATCTCTGCAACTTTCAACACACAAACACGTCAAAGCCTGGGCATGTCTCCAGAATGCATGGAAACATCTATAAGAACACTACTTTCAGTAGTACTTAATGTTTCCGCCCACTAAACATCAGGTCCACCATTTGCTACATCAGAAGAGCAAGATGGCCACCTCTGTCAGCTCAGTTGAGAGCACAGAATGCCACTCCCGTTCTGCTCCACACCCAAATAAGGGCAAGGGACCCTCACCAGGCCGGGAATGTGGATGAGTCAGCAAGGACCCCGTATGGTAGCCTTTGTTTATGCCTGAGAATAACGAATAGCAAAGCTCAGGCAGCTCACGTGAGCTGGCTGCTGGAGGGAAAGACAAAATCCGTCTGATCCAGGATTGGTTGAGACGGCCTCATCGACTGTCTGGAATGATGCTGTTACCTCTGCATCGCCATCTCTGTGCTGACATGCCAGGAAAGAGCTAACCACAACAGTTCTTCAGCTGGCAGCTTTAGCTGGTACACAAGGACATAAAGCTTGCCAGTGAAGAACTGCTGCAGGTCAGCCAGTGGGCTTCCCAGATTCTGTTCCTGATACTCCGCAGAAAATGTGGGAATAGGGCATGGAAGGATCTGCAGAGGCAAAGAAAGAAAGGAAAGTTTGTGGAGAAATAAGATGGGACAATAATAGCAAGTGACCTATAATAAGACAGTAAAATATTTAAGTCTACTGTAATTCTTCTTTAAGGTAAGGTAAAATTCAGTCGCCAATACCAAAAACCAGTGAAACTTGAAACCAATTTTAATACCAAATATACTATTCAACACATTAATTTAAAAAAATTGTCAATATTGATTACATTTTTTAATCTATTTTTAATAATAAAAAAATAGAGCTTAATTTAGAAAACATTGCTTCAATCAATCAAGCAATAAAGAAAAAAATAAAATAAAAATATAAAAACTAAATCTTAATTCATCTAGTAAGCAAAAATTTAAGCGCATTTAACATTCTCTTTTAGGGTGCCCCTGGCTGATGGCTGATAAAGAGGATATCTGGATAAAGTTAAAAATGAGAAAGAGACAGAAAGGGAGAGAGGAAGAGCAGCGGTCTAGTCATGTGTTCTTTGCCCCCGAGGTATTGCAGGCCTGCTACTGCTTCAGCATTCATTCACTCAGCTCAACTCTTGCCTTTAATTGAGGACAGATAGATCCGCTGCCTGTGCGCAGGACCCAAGCGTTTGATCATGCTCGAACAGTTCTGCAAGGAGACCATCTAACACACACACCGAATTAAAAGTCTCTCTTCATCCAATTTACTTAAAGGTTTAGTTTCATTTTCAAACAAGTCTGCTTCATTTAACCAAAGAATCTCCTGTAAGCAGCCAAAAATCAGGCCATTCACTCTTCTCTCAGGGAAGCTCATGAAGTATGGTTTCATTTCCTTTCTGACTTTTTTCTCTCACAAACAGGCCGTCTTCTGGGCCTCACTCTCCCATTGATCTTGCACAGTGCTAAAGGAGGCTGTAAAGCTCTGTGCTTTTGCTGCAGTTCAAGGATGAGTGCTGGATGGGCACGGCCTCTATATGAACCCACTGACCTCACTGAACCACAGAAAAAGGTCCAGTTTGCAAAGCACCGACTGGCCCTAAACTGGCACTCCCACACACATTCAGCTTTGCTCCCTCAGTCTCTTACACACACACACACACACACACGTTCTCACCCACAACTCAGAAATGCCAACTCCTGCCAAACAGCACGGATGATTTGCCCATACTCACTGAGCTGCCTAATGGAGAAACAAATGCAGTGGAGTGAGAAAGGCTGCGTTCACACTGCAAAAATACGGTTTGGTTTTGGGGACAGACATTTTATGCATTCATTAATTTCATGTGTTCAAAACAGCCGTCTTGTTCACTCTTTCACTATATACTGTAGAGAATGTGACATAATGCACTATACAAGTGAGTGAAATTTAGAGTATTCATTTCAGACACTCCTGTAGACAACATTCCAAAAACCTCCAATTGCATTCCATATATAAATAAATGAAATGAAAAAAAGAATACATTTATCTAATTATTATATACACACACAGTACACACACATACTCTAATCAGATTTTAAACTACATGTATGTGACTAGGGATGCACAGTACATTGTGCTCGATACTGGCAAAAAAAAATTTCTTTTTATGTTCGATACTTAATAAATGAACAATATTAAAATACACTATTTTGTCGAAATTCGCTAACCTAAAAACACTGAAAAGTAAAATCAATTGTTTTACTGTAAATGCTACAAGTGACTTTAGGCGTCACAACATTACAATGTACAGTACGAAATACGGAAATTAATTTTTTAAAGATTAACTTTATGTGAGTGTTGGCAAAGGCATTCTAAAATAAATAACTATAAATATCCAATATCAGCTGATGATAACCAATATTCTATAGATATAACGTGCAACATTAGATGTGAGAAAATAAACACCCATTTTGAGTCTAAACAAAGCCAGAGAAGAAATGGATGCTCACTGCATCTATTTTGTTTTCAGTGACGGAAATCACATTCGGCTGCAGCGCCCCCCCTTCCGCTGGGTCATAAGTCTGTTGTTATCAGACACCGGAGCTGTTGAATCGTCCTTTGTCTGAAGGCGAAGATAAGATCCTTCTATGTCCAGGACACCGCAGGCAGGGAGGGCCATCAGCTTCGGTTACAAGACTTGAACACAATCACACACCACTGTCCAGAGTCACACTATAATGTGCTCTCTAAAATCGTGACACCCATGGATTTAACCCCACAGAATGGGCGGCACAGACAAAATGGAGCTGGATAACATGCAGTTATGGAAAAGCCAGACACTTCTCTCCAACCCACTCCTAGGGGGGAAAAAAAACATGTATTTTCACTGGTCCTTTGCACGGTCTTTGATGTCCCCACCCAGTCAAGACGCTCAGAGAGCCAGTGGCTACAAGTGGTCAGCACCGGACACAATGGAGCATGTTTAAACTCTTGCTGCCTCTCTCTCACTCACACACACACACACACACACACACAAGGACTCGCCGACATATACAAACACACAATGCCTACAAATCCTGTCAGACAGACCACAGAGTTTCCAAGTAGTGATTTATTGTAAAGCCGTGGAAGCTTCCCAAACAATTACAGTCAGGCTGCTCCGCAAGGCAATAGGAAATGGAGAAGTATGTGCCCTTCTCTCGCTCTCTGCAGTGTCTGCTCACATTATCCTCCCTATAGCCTTCCTACCTCTGGGAAACCATTTCAAATTAACCAATTAAAGGTGCAGTAGGAGATCTTGTAAAATGTTAACTTTAGCCTGATAGCGAACGTCCCACCCTCCCTGCAATCGCCGTCCAAAGCCACGCCCCCTAAACGCATTTACGCTCACAGACCAGAATACAAGAGACAACATTACTACAATAGGCTTCCTAATTCCAGCCCATGTTCCGAAGTGAAGTAAACTTTAATGGATTTCCCCTGCTCAGGGAGTAGGGAGCAATGAACACTGAAGTGAAGTGACGTGACGTGACATGTGGCCAAGTATGGAGACCCATACTCGGAATTAGTGCATTTATCCCATCCAAGGTGCACACACACAGCAGTGAACACACACCGTGAACACACACCCGGAGCAGTGGGCAGTCATCTTTTTTGCTGCGGCGCCCGGGGAGCAGTTGGGGGTCCGGTGCCTTGCTCAAGGGCACCGCAGTCATGGTATTGAAGGTGGGAGAGAGCGCTGTACATTCACTCCCCCACCTACAATCCCTGCCTGTACGAGACTCGAACCCGCAACATTTGGGTTACAAGTCTGACTCTCTAACCATTAGGCCACGACTGCCCCTTCACTGTGTAGGGATCATATCGATCGGAACACAGTTCATACACGTAGCTCACTTCTAACAAGCTGGCGCGAGGACTGGATGTGTTTGATGGATGTTATTGATGTTTGTCTGCCATTCTCGCTCTGTCTGCACAGCGTGTGTGAACAGTGTGATCCCTAACAGTGCAATAGGGATTCGGCCCTGCGCAGAGGTATGCAAATACATACGTTGACAGACAGGTAGGAAAGCCAATTAAAACGCTCGGACTGAGCGTTTTGATTGGACAAACATTTCTTGATCCTACGCCTTCCACAGAATATAGAAATACAGACAAATACATTTAGACAACTTAACTTAATGATTGCTATCGGGATGTGAAGAGACTTTCAACCAGCATTACAAAAAATGTTTCTGAAGACAATCACCTATTGCACCTGTAATCAATAACCAACAGATGGCTCAAGATGGGAGGTTAGGTGGTGGCAAAAAACACAGTTATACCTCCATTTCTAGTGCTCCTTACTGCACCCAAACTGTTGCATCAGCTGTCTAGCGACGGCGTCCAAGACTGACAGCTTGCTCACATCACCAGGAGACACTGAACAGCAAGTTAAAGACAAAGGTGCACTTCAATCCAGCTGGCAAAGATGGTGGTATAGGGTCAAATGGGCTTGCCCAACATCTGGAAGACAGTGGGAAGAGGTCACAAGTCAGATTTTTCAAAGCAAGCACTGTTACACCCTCTGTCTAAACAGATACACGTTCACCTACGTGATTTGGCCATTAGTCGTTACATTCTTCAACGCCCACATAAATTGTTACCAAAATCAATGCATTATTCATTCCCTTCAGCTTCCAGATGAATAATGAGGAAGTGACCAAATGGGCTGGGTGAAGAAGGGGGGATCTTTAATTAAAGTGAAATCCCGCATTTATCTGAACAGAAGCAGTGCAAGGTCATTTCTGAGTCGAGATAATGATTATTAAGGGAAACCGGCTTTGAAAGGTGCAAGCTCGCCGTTCATCAGAGATGAGGCCAATGGTGGAGATGTTACATTCCTGTCATGCTTGTCCCGTCAAGCAGGGGCTCTCACAGGGTGTACAGCAGAGAAAATGAGAGGAGAGAGAGAGAACCACACCCAGCGGTTTAAAGTCTCTAGTCTTTCTGCTACTGTGAACTACCAAATTTTGCTACAAGTTTGATTGCAACATATAATAATTGTTGTTAATAGTGTTCAAAGTATGTTTGATTACGTCTTTAATTGATTTTTCTGTATATTTCTTCCATATGCACATTTACTGACATAGTCACCACTGATAAGCTACTACTAAATATATTGTAGAAACCAGTGGTGGGCCGTCAGGGCCAGCAAAGCCTTCTCTGCTGGCCTAAACACTATCAGAATCACTGATTTAGTTTTAATATATTTTTCCATTAATGAGTATTAAATTATTTCCAATAGTCTATTCTCTTCAGTTTTATAGCTTTTCTCTTGGTTGCACTGCTTCCAGCAGTGT